AACTCTACTCCAACAAACTGGACAACCTGGAGGAAATGGACATATTCCTAAAAATATATTTCCTTCCAAAACTCAATCAAGAAAAATCTAAAAATCTCGATAGGCCAGTAACTTTGGAAGAAATTGAAGCAGTCATTAAAAAGCTTCCAGCAAACAAAAGCCTGGGGCCAGATGGCTTCACGGGAGAGTTTTACCAAACATTAAAGGAAGAACTAAAACCTATCCTCCTCAGACTGTTCCAAAAAATTCAAGAGGAAGGAACACTTCCAAGCTCCTTTTATGAAGCCAGCATCACCCTAAGATCAAAACCAGATAAAGACAATACAATGAAAGAGAATTACAGGATAATATCCCTCATGAACATAGATGCCAAAATCCTCAACAAAATTCTAGCAAATTGGCTCCAGCAGCACATCAGAAAGATCATACACCATGACCAAGTAGGATTTATTCCAAGAATGCAAGGATGGTACAATATCCGCAAATCAATAAACGTGATACATCACATAAACAAACTGAGAAATAAAAATCATATAGTCATATCAGTTGACGCAGAAAAAGCATTTGATAAAATCCAACACCCTTTCCTGATAAAAACTCTCAACAAAGTGGGAATAGAAGGATCATTCCTCAATATAATAAAAGCTATATATGATAAACCCACAGCAAACATCATACTCAATGGGCAAAAACTAAAACCGTTTCCTCTAAGAACAGGGACAAGACAGGGATGCCCACTCTCACCACTCCTGTTTGACACAGTACTGGAAGTACTAGCCATTGCAATTAGACAAGAAGAAGAAATAAAAGGCATCCAAATTGGAAAAGAAGAAGTAAAAGTTGTCCTTATTTGAAGATGACATGATATTGTACATAAGAAAACAAGACTCCATCAAGAAACTAATAGACTTAACAAATGAATTCGGCAATGTAGCAGGATACAAAATTAACGCCAAGAAATCTATGGCATTTCTATACATCAACAGTGAACTTACAGAAACAAGAGACTAAAAAACCAATCCCATTTACCATCGCACCAAAAAAGCTAAGATATCTAGGAATAAACTTAACTAAGGCAGTAAAAGACCTATACACGGAAAACTACATGACCCTGAAAAAAGAGATAGAGGAAGATGTAAACAGATGGAAGAACATACATGTTCATGGATTGGTAGAATCAACATCATCAGAATGTCCATACTTCCCAAAGCAATTTATAGGTTCAATACACTGCTCATTAAAATACCAACGGCATACTTCACAGACCTAGAAAGAATTCTCCAAAAATTCATCTGGAACAAAAAAAGACCCCGAATAGCCACAGCAATCCTGAGAAAGAAGAATAAAGTAGGAGGGATCTCAATACCAGATTTCAAGCTGTATTACAAAGCCACTGTTCTTAAAACAGCCTGGTACTGGCACAAGAACAGACATATGTAATAAAATAGAGAATCCGGATATTGACCCAAACCTCTATATTCAATTAATATTTGATAAAGGAGGTATGAACATACAATGGAGTCAAGACAGTCTCTTCAATAAATGGTGTTGGGAAAATTGGACAGATACGTGCAAAAAAATGAAACTAGATCACCAACTTACACCATACACAAAAATAAACTCAAAATGGATACAGGACTTAAACATAAGATGGGAAACCATAAAAATACTAGAGGCATCCACAGGTAGCAAAATCTCTGATATATGCCGAAAGAACTTCATCACTGATACTGCCCCTAGAGCAATGGATGCTAAAGAGAAAATAAACAAATGGGACTACATCAAAATAAAAAGCTTTTTTACAGCAAAAGAAACCATCAACAAAACAACAAAAAAGCCCACTGTATGGGAGAACATATTTGCAAATGTTATCACTGATAAAGTTTTAATCTCCAAAATCTACAGACAGCTTATACAACTAAATAAAAGGAAGATAAATGATGCAATTAAAAAATGGACAATGGCCCTAAATAGAATATTTTCAAAAGAAGACAGAAGGAAGGCCAAAAGTCACATGAAAACATGCTCAAAGTCACTAATTATCCGAGAGATGCAAATCAAAACAACAATGCAGTACCATCTCACACCTGTCAGAATGGCTAATATCAACAAACGACAGGTGTTGGCGAGGTTGCGGAGAAAAAGGAACCCTTGTGCACTGCTGGTGGGAAATGCAGACTGGTGCAACCACAGTGGAGAACAGTGTGGAGTTTCCTCAAAAAACTGAAAATGGAACTCCCATTTGACCCAGTAATCCCACTCTTAGGAATATATCCCTAGAAACACCAATCAGAAAGGATATATGCACCCTATGTTCATAGCAGCACAATTTACAACAGCTAGGATTTGGAAACAGCCTAGGTGCCCGTCAGCAGATGATTGGATCCAAAAACTATGGTACATTTACACAATGGAAATACTATGCTGCCATAAAAAAGAAGGAATTCTCATCATTTGCAGCAACCTGGATGGAATTGGAGAACATCATGCTGAGTGAAATGAGCCAGTCAATGAAAGAGAAACACCACATGACCTCACTCATTTATGGATAATAAAGAACATTATAATCTGATGAACCAAAAGATAGATATAGAGACAGTAAAGCAACAAGCAGATGATCAAATTACAGCAGGAAGGATAGGGAGATCTGGGGAAGATAAGAGATCAACCGAAGGACTTGTATGCATGCATATAAGCAAAACCAATGGATGAAAACTCTGGGGAGGGAGGGCATGTATGGGAGTGGGGAGGGGCAATGATAAGATATGTACACATATACTACCTTAATTAAAAAAAAAAAAAAAAGGCTTGGCTTTATGGGTCCATGGGGTGAGCTCCAGACCATGGCCTTAAGGATGGAATGGTGGGGTGTGGAGGGCAGCTCTGAGACCAGAGGGAGGGAAGGGTCTGAGACAGCACTTGTAGCTAGGGAGCAGGGATGGAGGCCTGCACAAGGCAGGGCACTGGGAAGGTGGATCTAAGCAGCTGACCTAAACCCTGTTCCCCCCACCAGAAATACCCCCAGCCCAAGGGGAAGAAGAAGAAGAAGATTGTTAAATATGGCATGGGCGGCCTTATAATCCTGTTCCTCGTGGGCATCATCTGGTTCCCGCTGCTCTTCATGTCTCTGGTGCGCTCCGTTGTCGGCGTAGTCAACCAGCCCATCGACGTCACCGTCACCCTCAAGCTGGGGGGCTACGAGGTGAGCAGCAGCTTCCCCAGCCAGAGAAGCAATCCAGGTGCAGCTCTGCCGCACACCGAGGGCTCTGGCCCGGCAGCCCCAATCCCATTCCTGCCTTTTACTGTCCTCATGGACTGTGCAGAGCTCGGCCTGCGTGCTGGCAACCTGGGGAGTCAGGGAGGCTCCCCCCGCACCATGTCTCCCTGTTTGCACCCTCAGCCCCTGTTCACCATGAGTGCCCAGCAGCCGTCCATCGTGCCCTTCACACCACAGGCCTATGAGGAGCTGTCCAAGAAGTTTGACCGCCACCCGGTGAGCAGCCCCCACATTGTATCTGCCTGGCAGGGGAAGGGACGGCTTTGAGGGGAGGAGGATGGCTTGGCCTCACCCACTAAGGTGCTGTCATTTGCTTAGCTGGCCATGCAGTTCATCAGCCAGTACAGCCCTGAGGACATCGTCACAGCGCAGATCGAGGGCAGCTCTGGGGCTCTGTGGCGCATCAGCCCACCAAGCAGAGCCCAGATGAAGCGGGAGCTGTACAATGGCACTGCCGACATCACCGTGCGCTTCACCTGGAACTTCCAGAGGTACGTCCTGGGCCCGGATGGGGCCTGGATGGGGTACACGCCTCAGTGGGTCACGCTGTACCCCTGCTTGCAGGGACCTGGCCAAGGGAGGCTCTGTAGAGTACACCAATGAGAAGCACACCCTGGACCTGGCCCCCAACAGCACTGAGCGGCGGCAGCTGGCCAGCCTGCTGGAGGGCACCTCGGACCAGTCAGTGTGAGTGGGGACCAAGAGGCTGAGGGCACCAGGAAGGCTGGGCCAGACCTGACCCACTGGATTCCTCCCCACAGGGTCATCCCTAACCTCTTCCCAAAGTACATCCGTGCCCCCAACGGGCCTGAGGCCAACCCCGTGAAGCAGCTGCAGCCCAGTGAGTGTTCGGGGGAGGGTGGTGCTGGGCCATGGCCTCTGCCCTGGGAGAGGGTGGTGGCCTGACGGTCTCACCGCTCTGACCCAGACGAAGAGGAGGACTACCTTGGCATACGCATCCAGCTGCGGAGGGAGCGTGTGGGCTCGGGGGATGCTGGCTTCCTCGAGTGGTGGGTCATCGAGCTACAGGACTGCCAGGCTGACTGCAACCTGCTGCCCATGATCATCTTCAATGACAAGGTCAGCCCACACAGCCTGGGCTTCCTGGCTAGCTACGGGTAAGTGTACAGTGATGTGGCCTGGGGGTTGGGGCGCGGCTGTGGGCAGCAGCCCCCAGGATTCACCCGCACTTGCCTGGCAGGATCATGGGGCTCTATGTGTCCGTCGTGCTGGTCATCGGCAAGTTTGTGCGCGACTTCTTCAGTGATATCTCACACTCCATCATGTTCGAGGAGCTGCCGTGTGTGGACCGAATCCTCAAGCTCTGCCAGGACATCTTCCTGGTGCGGGAGACGCGGGAGCTGGAACTGGAAGAGGAGCTATACGCCAAGCTCATCTTCCTCTACCGCTCCCCGGAGACCATGATCAAGTGGACCCGCGAGAAGGAGTAGGAGCCAGGCTCTGTGTGCACCGTGAATGAAGGAGCCGGCCTGGCAGGGAGGGCAGTGCTCCTCAGGGCCACAGGAGCAGACACTCCAGTCCCAGGCCACCAGCTGTGACAGGTCCTCCTGGCCCACTGAGCCCTGATGCTGCTGTCAGAAGGAAGCTGTGGCCCCTCCATGGCCCAGCGCAGGACTGCTATCCCTTTCCGTTGTCCCTGCAGGGCCCAGTGCCAGACACACTGGGCCAGGGGCCCAGCCCTTTCTCCACATGTACTGTAGAGTTTTTTTAATTAAAACATTTTTATTTATACAAACAGATGATAGCATGCCGCCTGCCCATCCCTGTGTCCTGATCCAGCATCGCAGAGGTCCAGGCCGGGTGGTCCCAGGGGTCCATTCTGAGGCTCAGCTCTCACCAGTCTGCGCCTCATCATCACTGTCAATCAGATACTCCTGCATCTCCTGCAAAACCGAGGCCCTGTGGGAAGCGACACAGTGGGAATCAGCCCAAAAGTGCTCACCTCCAGAAGGACCCCTCCGGGGCTCCCAGCAAGGCAGGCACCAGTACCTCTGGCTACGGAACTGGGCCTCAGTCAGGATATAGGGTGGCAGGGGGTCCAAGGAAGGCTGCAACAAAGAGCCGACATGAGTGATGGGCTGCGTGGCACAAAGCTAAGCCAGTGTTAACTGCCCCCTCAGCCCAGGAGTGGGAGGGCCTCCCCTATCACCAACACAAGGCAGGCATCCACGCACCAAGTCCTTCATGTTCACACGGCACCCGTAGCATAGCTGCTCGATGACGTGGGCTCGGGGGTCCTCCCTGTGAGAGCAGAGCTGGACCTGTGTGCCTGGTCTTGGCCCCTCAGTGCAGGGCCTGAGGGCTTGGTGTACCACCACCCTCTGTGTAGCTGCAAGGGACCAGCCATGGTGTGGAGTGGGTCAGGTCAGGGAAGATACTCACCTCCTGCAGGGCTCAGCCCCCTGGCAACAGCCTTGGGCCCTGCCCACCCCTGCAGAGCAGCAGGGTGTTGTGGGTGCCTCAGCTGGTGGGGTGGGGGGCTGCATATGGGAGAGATGTGAAGTCTGGGCCCCAAAAGCCGTGGCACTATCTGCAAACAGAGATGAACTGAAGGGACCTCAGGATTGGTAACCCCCAATACTCACTCACTGGTACCCGTTCCACCCAAGAACCGCGAGAACATTCAGCACAGACCAGCAGTGTCGATGTCCAGTGCGCACATGCAGAGCAGGCAGCGGGGGCCTGGGGGGCCACCAGCACTGCCATGCCTTGGGGCCTTGACCAGCTTCTCACTCGTCCTGGAAGTGTGAGGACAGGGCACAGAGGCACCACTGGTTAACCAGAGCCTTGCTCCTGCCTGACCTGAGCCCCAGGGTGGTGAACTCAGTGCCTACCCTTCCACTCCCACTCCACGGCACAAACACACACCTGTACACAGTGCTGACTGTGGAGGGGAACTGGGCCTGCAGCCTGAGCATGAAGGCTTCCATAAGCCGGTGGATGCTGGACTTTTCAGGGGCCTAGGGACAATCAGATGGGGGCTGGAGTGGCCCTGGTGCAGAGGAGCAGCCCCAGGCCTGGCCAAGGGGCCGTGGGTTTCTCCACACTGTCCACTCCTGAGAGTCCGCCATGTTGGGCCTGGAGTCAATCAGGCACACACTTCTACAGTGTCCCTGTTGCTAAACACAGCCATTATTAAAAATTAAATTATGGCCTGACCTGCGTGGCTCAGTGGTTGAAGGCTGACCTATGAACCAGGAGGTTACTGTTCGATTCCTGGTCAGGGCACATGCATGGGTTGTAGGTGATCCCCAGTGTGGGGCATGCAGGAGGCAGCTCTCACCAGTCTGCGCCTCACCTTAGCTTTGTGCCTTAGGTGATTCTCTCTCATCATTGATGTTTCTCTCTCTCTCTCTCCCTCTCCCTTCCTCTCTGAAATCAATGACCCAAGTGTTGCCAGTTCAATTCCTGGTCAAAGGGTACATACCTGGGTTGTGAGCCATTCCCCATTCCCACCCCAGCCCAATCTGGGTGCGTGTGGGAGGCAACTAATCAATGTGTCTCTTTCATATCAAAATTTCTCTCACCCCCTCCCTTCCACTCTCAATTAAAATTAATGAAAAATATATCCTTGGGTGAGGATTAATAAAGACACACACACACACACACACACACAAAAATTATGTCAAAATTTTAAGTATTTCTGACAAAGGTCATTCTGCCCCTCTATCATCCCTTCCCCATGTCCATGACTACCACTTCCCCCAAGCTGGGCACCTCGCCTTCCCAGGGATGGGTACCAGGGTGTGGCACCTCCCTCTCCTAGTGAGCCCCTCCCCCTCAAAGGCATCAACCTGTCCTCCAACTCCAAGGGCTATCCCGTATATGCTCCGAGGATGCTGGGGGACATGGACTCCACTATGGTACCAGGTGGTAGGCACTGAAGCTAGAGGGCTGGTGTGGACACAGCCTAGGCTGCCTCTGCCCTGTCCCGCAAGTTACCTTGGTGTCGATAGCTGGTGTGAAGACAGAGGGCACGGCAAACAGGCGGTTGTAGAAGGCAACCTCCTTCAGTGTGTGCTCGCGCATGGGCCGCACTACCACCACGTCACCATGCCTCTCATCAGAGAAGCCCTGGGGAGGGGGAGGAGGGTACGTTCTTCCCTGTACCAGCTGCCGGTTATAGCTCCCTCCTTCCCTGCTGCTGGGGGCTGACGGGTGTCGGGTCAGGCTCCTCCCTCCATGAGGAAGACCCCAAGACTTATTCACAAGATACTACTTTCAAGTGAAAGGACCTAAAGGGTGAGGGGGGAAGGGCCCCTGGGCAGCCTGCCCCTGAGTACCGTGTCCCAGGCCAGGAAGGCCCCTCTCCCCAGCGCCAGGCTAGTCATGAGTTTGATGGCCAGGCGGGTACAGCTGTCCCCCGTCATCACCTTGGAGTAGCCATGAGTCCGGGCCACATGCAGAATCAAGTGGGTTCTGCAGAGCAGAGCAAGGGATCTCAGACACAGGTAGGGCAGGGCAAGGAACTGGGGGGAAGGAGGCTCACCGCAAAGTCTGAAGAAGCTCCTCCTTGGCTGTCAGTGTCTTCACAGAGTCGAAGAGTCTAGATAAAGCCTCGGTCTGGGCAGCTGTGGGTGGCTGAGCCTCAGTCTGGGCAGCTGTGGGTGGCTGAGCCTCAGTCTGGGCAGCTGTGGGTGGCTGAGTCTCGGTCTGGGCAGCTGTGGGTGGCTGAGCCTCGGTCTGAGCAGCTGTGGGTGGCTGAGCCTCGGTCTGAGCAGCTGTGGGTGGCCCAGCTGGGCTCTGAGGGTCCTGGGAGCCAGGCTGGCTCAGCTGCTCCTCCCCTTCAGCTGGTGCATGCTGCTGCTGGAGGAAACTGTCCACGGCTGCTTTGTAGGCCCCCTTGGTCCCTGAGGGCTCCTGGGCAAGGTAGCGAAGCACGGATGGCGGCAGGCTGAACACCTTGCAGGGCAGGGGAGGGTGGAGAAGCTGTAATGAAGCCCATGCCCACCACTGTGCATACTGAGGCACGGCCCAGGCAAGAGGCCCGCAGCCTGGCCCCAACAGGTGGGCATGCACTCCTTGTGGCATCCCAGTGGGCACTTCCCGAGGTCCTTCCCAGGGTGGGCCCACATACCTCTTCTAAGGCAACAATGTGCCAGGGAAAACCAACTGTCTGCAGGATCAGCTTCATCTCAGCTAGGGTTCTGGCTCTGTCCCCCGGGCTCTGTCCACAGGCTGCTCCCTCTGAAAAAGGCAGAAAGAAAGGAGTCATGGCTTTTAGGAGACGAGCCCAGGCAGGACAGGCCAACACATGAGCTCTACAGAGCAGCAGCTTGTTAGAAACCACAGGCTGCAGACCTCCTTGGAGGAGCATTTTCAGAGCGGGCAGCGGGTTCTGTAGTGGCCGAGGGATGAGGTGGGGAAGGGAGGTGGGACAGGTTAGCATCCAGCCCCTTGGGTAGTGAACTCAAAACCATCTCACTCAGTGCCCTAGATCCGCGGAGGAGGCCAGGCCAATACTCCTGCCCAACTCTCTGATGGTCTGACTTATGACAACAGCACTGCCATCTGTTGGTGGACATGTGCACTGACTCCAGGGCCTGGGTGTGGGCACAGTGCCAGCTGTTTCAGGGGGCCTGCCCATGCGGTTGGGATCTTGGAGAGAAAAAAGGCCACACGTACCATCCACGTAGACAATTCCTGGCACAAAACGCAGTCTTTTGGCAGAATCTCGACTCAGGCCCTAGAGAGGGGAAGGGACTGGCCTCAGCCTCATGGCTAGAAGCCACAGGACACTTTCCCTACAGACACCCTTCTCTGTACTGGGCGGGGACCCACCTGTAGTGAAGAGGCTGCAGAGGGAAGCCGTGTAGCCTGACTCACTTCAAACTGCCTGGTGTCTGCACTCTCCCTTGTAAAACCCGCCCTCCCCAGTCTGTCCCTGCTCCTGGCAATGCCCCGAGAAGCAGCTGGATACACATGGCCGTCCATGCCCCCCTATCCCAGCTCCTCTGGCTGCTCCGTATAGAACAGGACAATAGGATAAAAGCAAGAAACTGCTGCCCACATGGAAGGCAGCACCACGTGCTGAACAAACATCTGGGGAGCAGCCACTTATCTCAGATCCTCCGACCGGGTTTAGGGGACATAAAGAGCAGACGCACCACGCTCGAGCTCTGGGCACCTCCCAGGACCCCATACAAAACACCCCTGGCTGCAGCCTTGTCCCCAGTCCCTCTAGTCTACACCCCTCACAGGCAGTGCAGGTCATGTGTGTCCCACACCCTAGCCAAAGCCTCCACGGAGCCCAGCACCATCAAGAGAAACTGTAACTGCCCCCACACGTGATCCAGGCAGGCCAGCACAACCTGCACCCTTCCTTCTTCCCTCCCCACCTTGACATAAGCTGTCTTCACCAACATGGCCTCCCCTGGCAACATCCCTCCCCCTGCCTCTTATTCTCTTAAACTTCCCAAGTAAAATCCCTTGCTAGGGCTTGGCAGGATCAAACCACTTTTTGTCTCCCAAGACACCTAATTCTGTTTCAACATCTTGTCCCAGACACACTCCCAGGAAGCGAGAAGGCCCATGGCTTCAGGGCCATCTTGGATGATACCCTATTGTGACCCCGAACATTCTTTTCCCAGTTATTACTTTGCTATAGAGCAAGTGGACAGAGTGCTAAACTGGGGCACAGCTGGGTATTCCGGACGCAGCTCCTGGCTTGTGCACCTCTTGTATACACATCCAGGACCCCTGCAGGGCTGCTCTCTCTAGTTCTAAACAAGAGCCCCTTGGTGATGGCCCTCCACTTTCAAGCTCAATTGGGCGGTGGCCTGGGCACAGGAGAACAGTGTGGAGACGCACCTCAAGGACCTGCCAGATCATGGAGCTAGACGAAGGCCCCCCAGACCACGCCAGGAGCACCTGGAAAAGAAGGAACACTGCTGGAGGGCACATCTCCAACATGAAAATACCCCTCCACCCCCTCTCCACTATGGATATTCCGACATGGGTCCATTCTCAGAGCCCAGGCACAGGACAGAGGGAAGAGCTAGTAAGATGCAGCTGGGACAGGCTGCCTCAGGAAGGGTGGCAAGAAGCCCGGGTGGCTGAACTGCCCAGTCGGAGACTCCACAGGGGAGTCACCCCACACTCTACCTTCTCTCCTGGAAAGATCAGCCGGTTCTTCCCGAGCACAGCTCTGAACTTGTGGACATAGAATGCCTTGAAACAGTCCCTGCAACACAAACCACCACTAGCTCTAGCCATATGGCCCAGGATGCCTGCCCTCCATGCCAAGAGAGGGAAGCCAATACTGGCCTCTGCGGGGTGGCATGCAGCCTGAGGCTAGCTCAGTTACCTTTTCCTTCTCATACCAACTTCCATCTTTAAAAGAAGCATCTTGACAATGAGGCTCTGCCCTGAAGTCAGCATGGAGGGTTCTACCAGGTATGGTTGCCCCAGGATGAGCCTCATACCACATGCAAAGGCCCACCTGCATCACCCCCACAATCCTTACCAGTATGAACCGATGCCTGTGGGCCAGGAGCCTGGTGCCACCTGTACTGGCAGGCGCTCAGAAAGGCCCAGCTGGTGGAACAGATGGACATAGGCAGGCGCAGGACAAGGCCACCTAGCCCTTCCCTAAGCAGAGTTGATGACCCCTTCCAAGACCCCCACTGAGAGAAGCACCACCTCTTGGGGTGGAGGCTGCAGGGCCCGGCGGCCTGAAGCTCACACAGGCCCCCCTCTAGTGCTCTGATCCCGCTGGGACCAGAAATGCCCAGGAAGCTCCTGGAAACGCAGAATCCTGGGCTCTTCCCCAAACCCACAGACCAGAACTTCCAGGCAGGTCCCGGGAACCTGCGTTCTTGGTAAAACTTCCAGCTGATTCTTGGGCTCACTAGGTCAGAGGTGGTCAGTCTTGACTGCACATTAGAATCACTAACTACTACATCACACTATATTGGGATGAGGCCCAGGCATCTGCTTTTTAAAGCTCCCCTGAAAGCACCCTGAACAGAGGAGGCAACTCTGAACCTCCAAAATTGCCCCATGCCTGGGTATTTTCTGGTGGCACACACCAAGTCTACTAAGCTCCCAAAATGTTCAGGGACAAGAAAGTTTTTGGAAAACAATTTATTTAGTCCCTTCAGTTTGTTTGTTTGTTTGTTTGGAACATTTTTTCCCTAAAATGTATTTTCTGGTGGCACACACCAAGTCTACTAAGCTCCCAAAATGTTCAGGGACAAGAAAGTTTTTGGAAAACAATTTATTTAGTCCCTTCAGTTTGTTTGTTTGTTTGGAACATATGCACTGTCTGCTTCCTTTTTCTTGCTCAGCTATCTCTGTGTCCACAACAATCCCCCCAACACTGATCAGAAACTCCTTATAATGAGCCAACCAAACACCCCACAGGTCCTTCTGAGGATGGTAACTCAACTCAGTGTTTAACTATAAAACGCTGGAGCTAGAGGGACCCCAAGTGACCAGCCATAGGAAGTGACTCCCAGGAAGGTCGGAAAGTGCTGAGGTTCCCCCAGCACACAGTCTCTCGACTTCACTGCTCACTGGGGGTGAGGCGGTGGGGGAATCACTCTGTGGCTACCTCACTCCCTGTCCTCCCTGCACCACTAGGCTCCTGAAACCATACTTTCCTCTGGGTCAGGCCAAGGTTTCTCCCTGTGCCGACCCTCACAATCATTGAGGAAACATGTTCGAAACCTAGACTCCCAAAACCTACAACCAGAAAGTCAGCTTCCCATCTTTTCCCAAAACTGAACAAGCACACGCCCTGGGAGGTAGGGGGCTGAGGGGGGGGGGGGGGTGGAGTTGCTCTGGGCTCCAAAATACTGCAGGCCTTGCCTAGAGCTGCTGCAATCTGTCCTCCTATCAGCAAATTCTCCAAGCAGATTGGAGGGATCATAAAAAAGTGGCTTTTTTTTCCCCCCCCTAAAATGTATTTTCTGGTGGCACACACCAAGTCTACTAAGCTCCCAAAATGTTCAGGGACAAGAAAGTTTTTGGAAAACAATTTATTTAGTCCCTTCAGTTTGTTTGTTTGTTTGGAACATTTTAGAAAGCAGAGTCCAACACTCTTGGAGACCAATTTAGAGATGTGAGCTGATCACTCATTCAACAAATGTTCACTTGCTATACAAAGCATGCAACATCACCAGGAATTAACAGGGCTAAAAGGGGAGCCCAGCCCTGCCCTCGTGGAGCTGTGAATCTAGTGGATCAGACAAAGAAGAGTTATGATTCAAAGGCGATGTGACAGGGGCACAGAAGAGCTTCAGATAAAACAGAACCTGCTGGTGCCCAGGCCCCTCTGAGAATAAGTCTCTGCTCCTGTATAAAGGACCCCCAGAGGCAGGGGAAGGCAGAGCCCACCTTCCACTCCTCTGTTCCTCACGAGTAAAACAGGCATCACGCGGAACACCTGCCCAAGGTCCCAGGATGCTCCAAATGGCCCTTATATGGGTTCTAGCTGCCCAGAAAAGCTTATTCCGCCTGCACCTCACTCACTCTTTCCACCAGCTCTCCTCATAAGTGCAATCGTATACCTTTCTGCCTCCTCATCCACAGTTGAATGGTGGGAGACTGGTACCCACACATACATGAAGGCAATCCTAGCTTCTGAGCAAGCCCTTTTGCCAAGGTCTTCTATCCTCCTCCAGGCCTCACCTGCAGAAGGCATCTCCTGCTCGTATCACCACCACCGGCAGGTCTTCCTTGCACTTCACACACTTCAGCTCACGGCTTTGGAGACATAGGGCAGGGGGAGAGAGAACAAGAACACATTGCACACGCCCCTAAGACTTCGAAAAGAGGTCCTGCTTCTCACCCCAACCTGGTGTAGACTTGGTGTAGAGGAGAGGTCATGTGGGCAGCTGAACACAGGCAAACCAGCTTGTGTCTTAACCAAACTTCCAATGTGAAAACCGACAGGGGACCTGGAGGATACCGGTCTATTAAGACCAGTTCAGGGGGCACCTAAAGGCCACCTCTCCTCTCTCCAGGGCTGGCCCGACAGGAGAGCCAACTCGCTCCGTGTGGTTCTGGACGGGAGACAGGGAGTCGGTGGATGACAGCGACAGGAAAGCCGACTTCTCTTCCAGTAAAGACAGCGTGGTCTGCGGCAGAGCTGTCCCACCGACTGCAAGAATGTGAGGTGTGAGGGAGCCCCTCCCTGAGGAGTTCACCACCGGCTTGACAGGCTCTCCCAGGTGCTGCGGAGCGCGGTCCAGACTCCCTGGGACCCCGGGCTGCCAGGCTGGGCTTTCCGGAGCGCGGCGGCCGGGCCCTCGGGGTAGGACTGGCCGCCGGCTGGGGACGCCGCGAACCGTAGGGACGGGGGTGGCGGCCAGCTCTTACCCAGCCCGCGGCGGCGGCGGCATCTCGGGCGCGGGCGCCCCGTAGTCCTCGCCCACCTGACACATGGCCGTTCCGAGCGAGCCGCAGACGGCGGCCCTGACAGCGGCGGACGCGCTATGATGACGTCACCTGTCGCCGCCGCGCAGCGCAGCGTCTCGCCTCCCTCGGGGGTGGGGCGCGCCCTGAGACGTCAGCGCGACGCCGTCGCGGCGGTGACGCGAGGGCCGGTCCTGGCCGGGCCGGCCGGGACAGCGGCGGCGGCGGGCCTGGCCCTGGGATGGCGATGTTCCGCAGCCTGGTGGCCTCGGCTCAGCAGCGGCAGCCAGCGGGGGGGCCCGCGGGCGGCGACAGCGGCCTGGAGGCGCAGTACAGCTGCCCCATCTGCCTGGAGGTCTACCACCGGCCCGTGGCCATCGGCAGCTGTGGCCACACGTGAGTGCGCCGGCCTCCGGGGGCCGCGGGGCCGGGCTCCGCCGCGGGGAGGGGTCTGCGCCCGGCTGCAGGGTCGGAGACCCAGGGCCGCCCGGCACCGCGGGGAGCCCGGCGCTCCGGGAGGACCCAGGGGCGTAGGAGCGGGGCTTCCTACGCTGCGCCGGCCCTGCCCTCCGGCACTTCCATCCGCTTTAGCCCAGGCTCCGCCAGCCTTGGCTCTCCGCCCACCACACCGGCGGCACACGGGGCAACCCGCAACCCTGCTGGGTCTCGGCGTCCCGGGGGCTGCTGACGGCCTCCGGACCTCCCCGGGTGCTCAGAGGGCAGCCGGCACGACCTCTGCGCCAGTCGCTTGGATTCGGTCCCGCGGAGACGGGAGTGGGCGGTTGTAAATAAATGCCTGTGGCTTTTGCTGTCAACTCTTTTTGCGGACCGGCAGTCTGTTGTCTAGATTGCTGCGGAGAGAAGTTCCCTAAAGTTAGGAGCGGGGCTTGTTTGGAGTCTGGTGCTGCTTTCTGTTGTTCTGATGGAGAACCCATCAGCCAGGCAGGCTGGTCCACAGGGGACCAGTCGCTAAGCACCTTGCTAGGGTTTCCAGCTGCCTGCACCAGGGCTTACAGAGGGCTCCTGCAAGGTTTGAGGAACTGAAACCTGAGGATGTGGCACTCCTTCAGCTGAGAGCTTCACTCAAGTCATCTTGGAGCAGCCAGCCTGGTAGGGAGGGAGCTGAGATCAGTGTCCACTCTGAATCTCCCAAGTGATTGAATAATGCAGCTCTTGAGTGAAGTCAGCAAGGTGGGGAGCGGGGCCTAGAGGGCTTGGGTGCTGGAAGAGCTGCTGAGGGGGTGGAGCTTTCCCTATAAGGGGTTGGGCTGAGGGGCACCCAGGCTGGTAGGAGGCCCTACAGCATTTTGCAAACAAGGGCAGCACTTGGGAGGCTCTGGATACAAAGTGGTAGCTGGAACTGCTGGGTGAGTGTGACCGCTCCTCACCCAGAGAGGTGGCAGGGATGGTGTCAGGGTCCTTTCCTCCCTTCTCCCCGCCCCATGCCAGGCAGCACAGAGCACTGGCGACTTTTTCATGCTGCTGGTAACATTTGGACAGGGGCAGCTCCTGAACAGGACTTATTTCTTGTAAGCACATACTTGTGGGTGTTTGAAGGTGTGTTCTGCATCTTTAGTCCCATCATTGAGAGAACTGTGAGGCTTCTAATTTTAGAAACTCTTGCCTAGGCTTCAGTTGTGTCCCTTTGGCACTGACACCCAGCCTCTTGGTCTGCACAAAACTGTGTTTTTTCTTTTTTATCCAAGTACATCGTTTCTTAAAATGTGGTTTCCAGAATACAGAACTACACAGGATTATTGTGAAGCATCTCTTATAAAGCCCTTCCCCCCCACGCATAATCTTAGCATAATCTCACCCCTCGCCTATTTCTAGGGCCGGTCCTGCAAGGACCTCTTCTACAGCTTGTGCCTTAAAAAGACCTGCTCCCTGGCTCTGCCTGCTGCCTTGTTTTCCTAGCTAGTCTGTCTCAACTTCTTAATTTCCTGAAGTTTCTGGCCCAGTGTTTTGAAGGCATGTGTACAGATGAGCAAAGAAGGCTTTGCCTTTCCTTTTACTGTAAAAACCTTGCTGGTGGTTTGGTTATTTCCCTCTACAGCTACCTGACTAAGCCGTTTCCTTTCTCAAAATAGGTTTTCTGGTGGTGAGTGTGGCCCTGTGTGGGGCAGGTACCCCTGCTCCAGCACCTGGACAGGAGGGGATATAGGCTTTCGAGCAGGAGCCCCTCAGTGGAGCTTGTGGAAGGCTCCCAGGAACTCTCCAGGGGCCCCAGAGGAAGCTGGTTTTCTGTCACTCTCAAGGGACATCCTGGGCAGTGAGCCACATCCGGAAACAGAAACTGCCTGGCTGTTTCTAACCCTCTGATGGACCCTCCCCTGAGGGCGTGTTGGGGGCAGTGTTTATTTAGCCCAGGCTACCTCTGGACTTTATACCTCTTCTTTCATCCCCTCTAGTTAGTGCTATCCCATCTGTCCCTGCATCTGAATATCCCCACATTCAGTTTGTTACTGAAAGGAGATCATAGAAGAGTCTTAAAGTTCATTTTTAAGGGGAACTGTAGGGAATGATAATAGATGTTTTCTGAGTGCTCCCTGAATGCCACAGTCCTCTGAAGCAGTACTGCCACTGTTCTTTCTGTACAAGGAAAGTGAGGTAGGCTGAATAAAGGTTCCTATTCTCACAACAAAGACATGGTTTGTGCTCAGGCGGCCAGGCCCACCCTGCCTCTTAGCCACTCTCCTCCCACCACCTTCACAGCCCCTCTCCACCTTCCACTTTTGCAGCAGTGACTGCAGACCCTAAGACCACTGAGCCTTTACAGCCTCTGCCAGCTGCACCCAGGCCAATGAGCTGGCTTCTCTGGGTGGGGGTCCCAGAGGCTCCGGGAGTTTTGGTCACTCCCTGCTTGGCTGCCTGAGAACACAGGCTTCAGACAAGGCCTATGGCCCAAAGGCAGCTCAGGGTCTGTATGGGTGAGCCCAGTGAGGTGCGTCAGCACATGAGCCATTGCGTGACCATCCAGGAAATGCTTTGGAAGTCAGCATCCCAACTCAGGGCAGTTTCAGGAGCCTGGGGCTCAGCCTGCCTGCCTGCCCGCCCTATGAACATTGGCCTGTCCTGGTGTACCTGCACATGCAGAAGGCCAGGGTGACAGTGAGACACCTGAGTGGTACTGCTGTAGCCTGGAGTCCCTGCACTGGTCATCAGGCTGTTACAGCTGTGCCTATGGGTTTGACATGGGAACAGGCCCCTTCAGCTGCCTCCTTCAGCTGAGAAGCTGCCCAGAACCAGTCCCTTGGGCAGACACAGGCAGGAACCTCCTGCAGGAGAAGTGAGCACTGTTAGTCTGCTATAGCCCTCGCCACACCACATTGAAGATGCTGGAAACTAGGCCATGAGCTGAGCTACTGTATGGACACCTAGTTCTACCTCTAGCTCCTCAGGGACTGTGAAAAGGAGACAAGCAGTGCTGCAGGGCTGGGCGAGTCTGGGGTCAGGCAGGCATCCAGGTTTGCCTTCCGAAGACTCCCAAAGTTCCCCTGCCTCCTATTGGAGGGCAGCAGGGTACCCTTCACCTTGACCTCTGTCTTTCATCGGAGACCTGCTTCTCTGGAGGCCCTGCATTCTGCCAGTGTTGTGGTTACAGCTCTTCCCCACATGTGGTCTTATATCCTTTCCTTCTGCATGTGTTTTTACAGCTTTGCTGAGAGATAATTCCCTTATTCAAGTATACAATTCAGTGGCCCATACTATATATGCACAGCATTGAGTAACCATTACCACATTCAATATTAGTACATTCTCATCATCCCCATTGGGACTCAGCCTCTAAACCCACAACTCCTAACCTGCTTTCTGTCTCTGTGGATTTGCCTGTTCTGGAAAGTTCACATAAATGAAATCATGCCATGTAGTCCTTTGTGATTGGCTTCTTTCACTGAGCATGATATTATTTTTTATTTCTTGATTTCAGAGAAGGGAGAGGGGGAAAGAGAGAGAGAATAATTGATCGACTGCCTCCTGCACGCCCTTTACTGGGGGGGGATCAAGCCTGAAATTGGGCATGTGCCCTTGACCCTGGGACCCTTCAGTCCGCAGGCTGATGATTCTCTGTCCACTGAGCCAAACTGGCTAGGGCTGAGCATGATATTTTCAAGGTTCCTCCAGTGGTCACACCTGTCAGTACACACTCCCTCTTATGGCTAAGTCGGTGCATCACAGAGATAGACTGAGATCCGCATGTCTAACACCTGTCACAATGGCCACGTGGTTGTTTCTACTTGGCTGCTGTCACTAGTGCTGGATGAGCACTCGTTTGTTTGTTTGTTTGTTTGTTTTTCGACTTCCCCATTGTGACCATCGAGGCAGCACTTTCCTCCAGAGGCTGGGTGAAGTAAGAGACTACCTGATAAATACCCTAAGACTGGTGAGGAACAGCCCTGGCATCCACACTGAGCACCAGGGCTGGGTGCATAACATCTCCTTTGCATGCTTGCTGTGATGCCTGGTGAGCCCTCACTGGGAGCAGGAAGTGACCAGGGGCCCACCTCCTTACTCTGCAGGACAAGGGTCACCAGAAACGCTGCACTCTAGGTGTCAGGCCTACCCAAGCCTCTCATGTGCATGTTAATGTGAGAGGTGAGCAGTCAGGTGATGGCAGTACTAGAGTCCAGCCTTTAGGAGGCGGGCCTTGGGATGGGCACAAGAGGGACTGTGGATCTCCCTTGGCTGCCTTTTTCTGAGAAGGAAGTGAGACTATGATGGCAAAGGGAACTCTGACTGCTTAGCTTAGCTGAGTCCTCTGTATACTCAGAAACATTTTCACACCCCTTTGTCTCGTACAGCTCCTGTCCCCACCATGGCCTTCCCTGCCTGACATACACAGGTGGGCGTAGAGCGGTGCCCACCCTGGCTTCTTGTAGTTTTGCAGAGTTACCACCTTTCTTGTGTGTCCGGGCTCAGCCCCATGATGCTCTTCTGGGGCTCTATTCCAGTGTCTCCAAGTCCCAGGTCTTTTGTTGCAGCTAAGTGGTCCCCACAGCACTTCCTATGAAGCTGGACTGAAGTGGTCCTGTAATCAAGCACCTTCTCCCTCTTACCCCCTCTGACCAGACTTTTTTCTAATGACCGGCACCCTCCTCGGCAGGTGGTTGTAAGTTCCAGTTAGGGGTGCATGGGTAGGAGGGCTCTCTGCACATGCAGCCTACACAGGACGAGCATCTCCATGAACAGTGCCAAGAGCTCAGGGCTGCAAGGAGCCTCAAGTGCCCACATGCATGCCCAGGACCAAGAGTATCATTGCTGGCCTGTCAGGAGTCTGAGCACAGTCCTTCCTGTCACTGTTCCTCCATTCAGGCCTATCAGGCGGCCATTCCTGCACAGAAGGTGGCACTGTCCCAAAGCTGGTGATGCTCACCTGCCAGCTTTGGCCCTTTCCTATCAATGAGTCCTGTGATTTCCTCTCGCACCATTGTGAGTGATTTTACTCCCCAGAGCTTAGTGAGTGAGGGGTCTCCAAGGTCCCCTGTACTGTCCCCATGTTTTCTGAGCCCCCTGAGGTATCATCACCATGTGGCAGTTATTGATAGATTGTCAGGCTGAGCTCAGGCCTCCTACTGTAGCCAGAGCTCTTGCTGGGACCAGGACCATAGGGCAGCACAGGTCCTAGAGAGCCACAGCTGCAGCTCTGGGTCCCAAAAGCCCATGGCTGGGAAGGGATCTGGGGTGATCCTTGAGCCAAATGGTACCCATCCAGCCAGTGGGACTCGGGCTCGGAAAACTGTCTCCAGGAACACACAGTTGACAACAGTGGTGAGTTGCCCTGTTGTGCTGGAGCAATCTGGCCTGTGACCTCAAGCCCATGTCCTCTACCCCTGCAGGTTCTGTGGGGAGTGCCTCCAACCATGCCTGCAGGTACCATCCCCCCTGTGCCCGTTGTGCCGCCTGCCTTTCGACCCCAAGAAGGTGGACAAGGCCACCCACGTGGAGAAGCAGCTCTCGTCCTACAAGGCACCCTGCCGGGGCTGCAGCAAGAAGGTACCCACCCCTGGGTGCCCTCGGGGCCAGGAGGGTGCTTAGGGCATGGTTCTGCCCTGCAGCAGAGAAGTTGGACTCTTCCCTTTTCTGTTGAGGACCCTGCAGCTCTGCTTGGCCCCTCCTTCACGGCACTTCCAGGTGGCTCTGCCTCTGGTCCCACATTGCATCCCCCAAATTCCACTCTCTGACCTGGGCTCTGGGTCTCTTGTGTGCCTTGTGGCTGATGCCGGGGCATGGGCTGAGCTGAAACCCACCCCAGACATAACCTTGACACTCCAGTGATCTGCTGCTCACTGCAGGCATTTATGTAAGGGAGGGGAGGGCAGTTTGGGACCATGGGCTAAATGGAGCACATTGCTCTGTGGCCCCTGTCACCTGCATCGCCTGCTTTAGGCATCCTGCCCTAGAGCCCATCCTGTCACCCTCCTTACACTCACCACGCCCCCAGGGCTGGGAGGCCCTGCCTCTTGGTGGATGGAGCTAGAACTGATTTTGAGTTTACATTTTCAGATGTTGCCATCTCTCTGGTTAACAAGTTCTACTAACTTAGCACAATGGAAAGCAGCCACTGGTTGGTTGCCTTAAAGGTCAAAGGTCTGAACTTCCAGGGCTGACCTGAGAACCTCCAGGGTTGGGGGTTGTTGGAGCTTCCTTCAGGCTCACATAGTCCCTTCCCCACTTCTCCCCTTGATCCTCCTATAGTTTCACATGTGAAGTGGCTCTGCCCTTCACACCATGCCCCCAACCCTGGGCAGAGCTGGTATCGGAAGGCTATTCTGTTACCCAGACCTGGGTCAGACCTTGGTCCTGGGGACAGTGCCCTGTGCTCAGGGAGGCAGCTGTCCCTCTTGCTCCCTCTCTTGCTGTTTCCTCAGTTCTGTGAATTAGTCTTCTGTTTGTGAAATGCTTACTCTCCAGCCTCTTGGCATTGGTCACATGGCAGGAAAGTGGTGTTCACTCCCCAGGGAGGATTGACCAAGGTTCCTAAGCGCTGCCCTTCCCCTGGCCATGCTTGAAGCTGGGACCCCTTTTCCCCAACCCCCCCACCAGAGCTTGTGACTCAAGCAGCCAAGGAGAAGGTCAAGCTGGGTTTGGTTTGGGTTGATTGGTACCTTTTGGTAAGGAGTTTTGTCAGCTGTTCGACTGTCTAAAAGAATTTGGCTCATTGGTTCCTGTTACGAGGAGCATCTTTCCTAAATGAACCTACTTCCCATTCCCCCGAGGACTCTGCACTTCTGCGTTCCCCAGGGACCCCAGCTTGGGGTGCTCCCATCCAGGGGCTGAGGGCCATGCCAACCTCCTGCCAAGCTGCAGCTAAAGCAGTGTGCACCTGCTGCTGGGCGTAGCTCAGAGGCATGTCCTGAGGTCTCAAGTCTGTCTCCTTCCCTTCTTTTCTCCAGTGCGGACACTGGGCCCCTAAGAGAGGCCCCAGAATCTGTTTGTTGCACTGCTGGGCTGTGAACACCAGGAGCAGGACCAGCCTGCTTGCTGGTTGTTCTCTGGTCCAATGGAGCCAGAGGCTTTGCTGCCCCGCCCCCACCCCCACCTGCCTGACCCCTGCCCTGCCTCTCTTCCCAGGTGACACTGGCCAAGATGAGGGTGCACATTTCCTCATGCATGAAGGTCCAGGAGCAGATGGCCAACTGTCCCAAGTTTGTCCCTGTGGTGCCCACATCCCAGCCCATTCCCAGGTAGGCCACTCCACTGGGGGCTGTGTGTCCCTGTGGGTGCTGGGAGCAGTTCCTGATCTGCACCAGTAGGTGGAGGCAGTGCTGCTCCACCCAGAGGAAGTGGACGGGGCTCTGCATCACCTCGCAGCAGGGATGTGCTGTCCCCAGAAAAGCAGGGTCTGGACAGATGACTCTTCTCAGGGCAGGTGGCCTGTCCCCTCCCCACTTGCCCAGCCATATTGGGAAGGAGAGGGACCAGGAGTTTATGAGGCAGCAAGCAGTTACAGAGCAGTTGCAACGGGGTGTGCTGGGAGCAGGACAGAGGGCCCCACGGTGGCCGGGGTCCTGGGTACTGGGCTGATCCTCCTTCCTGAGGAGGGGAGGGGAGGGCATACCTGTGCTGGGGCAGGAGGGGCTGGGCTACGAGAAGGTCGGTAGTGCCCAGCCAGCCCACCACTTACCCCGCCCTCTCCACTCCAGTGCCATCCCTAACAGGTCAACCTTCACCTGCCCTTACTGTGGCGCCCGCAACCTGGACCAGCAGGAGCTGGTGAAGCACTGCGTGGACAACCACCGCAGCGATCCCAACCGTGTGGTGAGCACCCGCTGCCAGCTGCCCGGGTGCCTGAGCCCCACTGTCCACCCACAGTGCCCTTCTGGGACCCTAGGGCGGGGCCTTGCTTCTCACTCCTGCTCAGCTTCACCCCAGTGTCTCCTGTTCCAGGTGTGCCCCATCTGCTCAGCGATGCCCTGGGGTGACCCTAGCTACAAGAGCGCCAACTTCTTGCAGCACCTGCTCCACCGGCACAAGTTCTCCTATGACACTTTTGTGGTGCGTGTCCTCCCCCTCCCCAACCCTTAACCAGCCTCAGGTCTATAATTCAAAGGGAGCTGAACACACAAAGGCCTCCCAGATTTTTTTTAATGCATTTTTATTGATTTCAAAGAGGAAGGAAGAGGAGAGAGAGAGATAGAAACATCAATGTTGAGAGAGAATCATTGATTAGCTGCCTCCTGGACACCCATGCTGGGAATCGAGCTCAACCTGGGCATATGCCCTTGACCAGAATCGAACCTGCGACCCTTCAGTCCACAGGCAATTCTCTGTCCACTGAGCCAAACCCACTAAGGCCCTCCCCAAATTTTTGCGGGAGCACCCACAGGTCTGGTGCTGATGGCGGGCAGGTTCATGTGACCATTAGAGGTCCTCGGACTCTGGATCAGCACAGAGTACTTTGAGAGGGCCCCTGGGTTCTTCAGAGCTCCCTTCACACTGGGTGAGGGGAGGCTTCTCTGGGAGAGGTGGCCACAGGTGCAGTGGCTACTGCAGGGGGACCATCTCCCCAGCCCTTTCAGGACAGAGAACCCGTGGAGGGTGGTGGGCTGAAGCCAAAGGGACTTCACCACCTTGAAAATCTCCAACTCGCTTTCCCTCCTATCTGCTCTGGTCAGAACCATGCCTGCCCCAGGCCTGCAGACCTCCTCAGGCTCTTCCTCCTGCTTAGCCCCTCCCCACCCAGCCCTGTGGTCCTGTCCCTGCCAGCCTGCGGCCTCCAGGTTCCTGGCTATAGGGGATAATTACTCATGCTCCTGTCCACCCCCAGGGTCCTCGTGGTTGGAGGCCTGGAGCTCTCTGGCTTCTCTGCTCATCTCACAACCCTAGTTCTCACATCTGAGGCAGAAGGACAGCTCTTTCTCCAAGTGTCTGCCCCTCCCACAGGCCCGCTGGGCAAGGGGTCTGTTGGACAAGGTGTCCACTGGACAGCTGCAGGGGCCCTCAATGCAGAGAACTTGGGAGATGCCAGACAGTGATCCCACATGTGGCAGCACTTTAACCTCCAACAGAGCTTTCTCTATATGGCAGCAGTGACCCCATGACTGCAGGGGGCCTCATTCTTGGCCTGAGTCGTGCTGAAGAGAGGTGTGGAGAGTGGAGGTGGTACTGCTGGTCTGTTCGGGTGACTGGACAGAGGAAGTGGTCCTGAGAAGTCACTAGCACAGCTGGGCCCTCATGTCTGGGCCCTTGAGTCCCCCCAGCCCATCTCCACTTCCTGTTTTCCAGGACTACAGCATCGATGAGGAAGCTGCCTTCCAGGCCGCCCTGGCCCTGTCTCTCTCCGAGAACTGAAGGCGCAGCCCAGCCACCAAGACCGAACCTCCCACTTCGGGGGACAGGGCCATGCTTGCTTTCTGTGGCCCAGAGCCTGCACCTGAATGCGCCTTGCGGGCCAGGTGGGCCTCCATCATTTCAGAAGAAGAGGCGACACTCGGATTGCCAGGCCGGGAGAGACCACTGTCCCCTCTCCGTCAGGGGATGGTTGCCTGTGCTCCTGGTTAAGCATGGCTGGTTTCTTCGGTGCTTCGGGCCAAGCAGGCAGCCCTCTCGGGGCCGGCCTGTTGGGACTGAGAGCAGTCAGCTATCTGCCTCTCTCAAAGCCATGGTGTCCTCCCCATGCGGAGGCGGAGCCCAGCGACAGGCCGGCCGCCGCCGGCGTCTCGCAGCACTTCCCTCTGTGCACCTGGTACTGGCTTTGTGATACCTAGAAATTCTGGCATTTTTCTATATTATCCAGTGTGATAACCTTTTCACATTTTATAGAGCAAAGTCAAAGCAGTTTCTCTTCATATTGCAATATCTGTGTTTGACTAGGAACAATAGTATTTTTATGGAGCATTTACAAAATTATATTTTTTAAAAAAAAGTAAAAAACAAATGTGGGATCAGGCTGGGGAGGGGAGAGATGGGCAAATGCTGGGGCCAGAATGAACCGTGGGGTTTCACCTGTGCACATGGGTGGAGGTGGCCACGTCCCAGGCCATCTCAGTGTTTTTGAGGGTTCCTGTGGTTGGTTTGTCATTTCCCTTTGATAGTGACCTGGAAGAAATCTCAATTCCTTGACCACTTGCAGTGGCTACTGGGCTCTTCTGGGGCCTCCTCCTGCCCAGGGTCCTGGCCTCAGCCCCGTTGACCACATCCTGCCTCCGGCAGGGCCACCCCCAGTGGTGGTAGAGCTTGGTGGGAAGGGGCAGGGCTGTGCAGTGGTGGACTGGGCCAGAAAATGCTTGTCAGTATTCTTGTTTGGTTCATGGCATAAGTTATTGCTGTCCTTTAAAAAAAAATAAAATGTTTCAAAGCATCTATAGCAGCAGGATGGGTTTCATTCTGTAAACAATAAAAGCCCAGGGCTTGAGTGGAGTCACCACAAGCTTCCTTTGCAAGTGTGTTTCTGTCTCCAGGCAGCTCCAACTCAGTGAAGCTGGCTTCAGGGCCACCTGGGAAGAGGATATGGTGGCCAGGGGAGGACTGTGGTCAACCATCCTGCCCGCCACCGCTCCCAGGCCCTGCTGCCTTGGCCGCCAGTGGTCACTGGGGGACCAGGTTGTTGCATGAACACCATGCTTCCTTAGTGCGCTGGAGGTTTCTCAATGGTGACCCTCGTTCCCCAGCCTGTTCCTGCCTCTGTCAGAGTTCTTGAATTGCATCTGGTCCCTCGTGGCAAACCCAGGCAAAGTTTGTTGGGCGTTGGTGGCTTTCACCTCCTAGGTCATAAGACAGGGTTTGCTGAGGACAGGGGACTGGCTGGGTATCTCCTCAGGCTCCCTTGTCAGAGCTGGTCTAAATGGGGCCTGTTCTGGCCCATAGGTGGGGGAGTCGTCAGGATGTCCTTGAGGTAAAGCCCCACAGTCCTGCAGTCCTCATGTGGCAACCATTCTGCTGCTGGCTTTTGGCACTCTGCAACCCATCCCCTAGCTGCTTGGTGCCCCCCAAGTGTGACCTTAGTTCCCAAGCCTCACTCAGCCACTGAAGGGTCATGAGGAGCCATTTAGACATTGGCACCCCACTTTCCTCCTCTGAAACATCCCCCTAGTGGCAGTGCTCCATGGCTATCATCATGACACAGCCCCTGCTGTTCTCCAAGTCACCGTGGGCCTTTCAAAGCCACAAGAATCACCTGCCGGCCAGTATCCTGGCGGCCGGTCATCACCTGAGCCCTGTGCCTGCCTCACTCTGTCGTCATCAGACTGCTTACCAATGGGGCTGTGTTCTGGACCACACCTCTACAGAGACATCGGGGTCCATAGCTAAAAACTGTCAGAGCAGGGCACATGCAAGTTTCCGCAGGTGGTCACTAGAGGGTACTAGGACTTGGTCTGAAGTTACCCCTTTAGAAGCAGTTGACCTCAGACACCTTTAGGAGCCACTAGCCCCACTCTCCCTCTGACCAACCTTTGACCCATTGGCCCAGGATGCCAGGTTCCAGGGCATAGCAGAGCCACGTGCCAGCCTTCCAAAAGGAGGCCCTTGATGCAGTGTGCCCAGAGGAGCTGTCTGGATCCAACCTCAGCTTCCCCAGGGCCCCCAGGAAAGGAAAGTGGCGAAGCAGCTGAGGTCCCTCCTGCAGAAGGCCAGAGGCCCCAGTGAAGCCCTCTTGCCCAACCTGCCGACTGGCCCACCAGGCACATAGACCAGGCCACATTCCCCAGCCTCACTGAGCGGGGAGGGACCATGGCCTGTCTACTCACCAGGGGACCTGGAGCCAGCTGGGCTCCAGACACTGAAGCTTCCCTCCCTCCTGCTGCCCATCTCTGCTCCACCCTCTAACCCAGCACCTTCCTCCCCCAATGAGCCTCCCTGGCACTGATGTCCTAAGCACTGCCCTGCTCCAGGGCCAGCTAAGACTTCCCTTGTCCCTTCTTCCCCAGAGCTGCCTGGACACACAGCAGCTGTGTTTCTGGGCTGATCATGGGGGTGTGTGTGTGTATTTACCACCTGGGCCACCGGCCAGGCCTGTCCACACCTGAGCAGACCTCCCGGGGGTCAGGGCTGTGCTGCTTCCATAGGCCCAGGCCACTTAGTTGTCATGGCTCAGGAGCCCTGGAGGTAGCCTCAGGGCATCTCAGCAGGTCCTGATCTCACCATGTCCTTGCCTGCTGTCCGCCCGTCAGGGAGATGGCTAGGTGATGGGGCCATACAGCCCAGGTTCATGAGACATGGTACACAGGCCCATGGGACACACGGGACACATGGGACACACCATTGCTCCAAAACAGTCTCCAGGATAGTCTTCCCAGGGAGGGACATTAATGTGAGCCCCATGTGGTTATGAACATACGTGACCTGGATCAGCAAACTCGCAGTGGGAAGTGGGGGACACCTCAGGTTGAAGCTGTTGCACCAGCAGCTCCTCTTACTTTGGATAAAATCTGAGGTGGAGCCAAATGTCTGAAATCCTTGCAATGGAGCCTCCCAATGAGAATGGGGGGCTCAGACCACAGCTGGGATGAAAGCCACACTCCCAGGCCAGCCCCTCGTGTCCTTCCTCAAATCTCACCACAAATCCACAGGGCAGCCAGAGCCAGAGCTCCCACACAACTGCTCCCCAGGCTTCCTGCCGCTCCGCGTGTGGGCTCAGTCAGGCTCCCATTGCTTTGTCTCCTCCACCTTGACAATCCCAGCAGCTTTCCTCTTCAGTACAAAGCCGAGCCATCTTTCTGTTCAGGGCCCCATATGCCTATGCCCTGGAGTGTCCCGGGAGGGCGGTGTCAGCCCTTGCCTTTCCTGTCAGGCACACCCTGCTGCCTAGAAAGGGCCTCTGGGTTCCCTGCTGTGAGGGGACAGGCAACCAGCCACCTAAAGGCAGAGCACCCAGAGCACGGAGGCCCTGGCCCAGGCTGGGCTCCACAGCCCCATTGGTAAGCAGTCCTGAGATCTGGCCACCAGCTCTGGGCCCTGACGGGCAGTAGGGCACACATGCAGAGCAGCTCCTGTTGGGCTTGGCTCGGACTGGGTTGTGGGCGTCCAGGCCCATCTTTTCAGGAAATACAAATGTATACAGAGGCATCAAAGAACAAAAAAGCGGAACTACCTGCTTCATCTCATCATCGGGGCGGAGGGGAGGGGGCAGCACACCTGCCACACAGAGCTGTACCCTCCCCCAGTCCCTTGGGGACCATCTTGACTTAGGTTCATGCACCCCAGGGGTGACAGGCTGAAGTCACTGAACCCGTTTCCTGAATGAAGAGATTCTGTGGACCTGTCACAAGAGGCATGGACTCTTCCTACTGGTGTATCTTGACAAGTCCTGAGACACCTGTGCAGGACAGGATGCCCTGCCCCACCCAGGACAGGTGCAGGGAAGGCATTTCATCATGACACAGCTGCAGTCAGCCTGCTCATGAGGCAGGGGCCTTAAACTCCAGGGCTGAGAGGGTCCCAGTGCTCTTGCACAATCAGCCTCGGCACCACATCTCTAGCAGCACTCCATGTCAGTCAGAAGCAAGGAGGGGAGGCTGGCCTCTCAACCAGAGCCTGGGTCTCAGCCAAGGAAAAGGGCAGGCAGCCGGGTGGGAACAAGGTGGGCTGAAACCGGCCCGTTTCCTCTGAGTGCAGCCCTCACAGCCACAGGTTCGGCCAGCTGCTGGGCCCCTCCTGGTGTGGCCTCCTCTCCAACTGAGGAGCAGAAGAGGCAGGAGCTGGCAGACTGTTCTGTGGACCTGCGCCTCCTGCAGGAGTCTGCTATCAAACCTATGGAAGCACTTAGAGAGGAAGGGTGGATGGGCTCACAAACAGGCCTCTGGGAAGTGCAAACAGCATCAATGTGGTATTTTTCTAGAAACTCTAAGCACATTTGGTGCATGGGTTTATGGCACTGTGGTTTGTTCTCCTTGATTGTCTGGGTGAGTGTCCTGAGGCGGCTGTAACAAAAACCACAACTGTGGCTTCCACCATGGGAATGGATCCTCCCATTGCTCAGGAGGCCAGAGGCCCAGGTGTCGGCAGGGCCGAGGGGAAGCCTCCGTTCTGTTCCTGTTCTCTGGCTCTCCAGCTCCAGCAGCCCCCAGGAGCCTTGGCTCACAGATGTACCACTCAGCTTTCGGCTTCACGTGGCATTCTCCCTGTGCCCTCACATCATCTGTGTCCGAATTTCCCCTTCTATCAGACTGGGGCTGCCCTAATGACCTCATCTTGACTACACTCACAAAGACCCCATATCCAAATAAGACCACAACCATGGTGCTGGGGTTAGTACTCCAACATATTTTCAGGACAAATGCTTCAACTCCTAGGGTTGTCTCAGTTCATTGTCAGCACACACTGAGTAGGGAAAGGAGGGAAGAACTGGGCATGAGCTCCAGCGTGGAGCCTGACCCAGCCTGGGGACAGAGCCGCTGGGCTCTGCGGAAGGTGGTGGCCAGCATGTCAGATCCTGCAGTCAGTGGCTTCTAGAGAGCCTGCCCTAGGCCTGGCCGAGTGTTGACAGGATTCCCAGGCCCCGGAGGTGCATTCTGGGGTCTTCCACATGCTCTTCTGGCGGGGCTGAGCTCCTCAGCTGGAAGCTACTGTGGAGGTTAGAGCCAGCTGAGATGCCTCTCCAGCAAATCTTGAGGATAGGCCTCGTTGCTCTCTGTGTCCTGGTGGCTGGGTGAGCACGAGAAGCACAGCACACTGACCGAGTGAACTTGAGGCCACGTGTGCCAAGGTTCAGACATTGCACTGAGGGAAGATCAGCAAATAGGATTGTCCTGTCCAGTCCATCACTATGAGAGAGAGCCAGCCAACACATGGCTATTGAGTCTCTACAATAACCTGCTGTGGACGAGTGCAGAGAGGATTCAGTAGGGTGAGGAGCTGGGAACAGAGATGTGGACCCAACAGACCCCTCCATTCAAGGCCAGGGCTCATCTGCTGATGTCCAACCTCTGTATCACATGAGAACAGTTCCTGCAACCTCACACATGTACACATGTATACAAATATTATATGTGCGCATGTACAAGAGACAGATCTTCATACATGCACATACAAGCACGCACATATACTGACACATGTGCATCAGTGTATTCCTGTCCAGTCACCACTCGGTCCTCACCCTTCCTGCCCCAGCCCCCAGGAACCCTCTTCATCATCCAACATCACAACCCTAAGGTGTCCAGGCCTCCACTGCCTGCCTTATACGCTGTGTGTGGAAGGACAACGGTCCCTCTCAATACCCCGGTATCACATAGGATATGTCCACTGAACCTCTATTTAAGAATCAGTATCACCTCTAACAATCATGTCCCAAAGGAATGAGCAGCTGTAAGCAGTAGTGAGTTTTCCCTCACTGGGGGTGACCAAGCACACACTGCCACCTATCTGACCGGTTGATTGTTGGGAGCTGGAGATTTGGGTCCAAGTTTCTATGTGTCCATCACGTTGGGTAGCCGTGAGGTTGCCTCAAGTCAGGAATTCCCATCCATGCCCACACTCCCTCCATAAAAGGTCCACACACTGATACTGGGAGCCACTGTCACAGTGGCTGGTGCCCCCAGTGCAAGGGCCATCTGCTTGGGGCCTGGGACAGATGAGCTCCAGCTTCAAGGCCTGGTTCTGAGCACTATTCCAAGAGTCCTGATGCCAGGCTCACTCCTGGGCCTGGGACCTTCACACACGTATCTGCACTAGAGAGCACAAACAGGCTTACGCCTCTAACCCTCATGTCTGGGGCCATGCAATCTGGGGACTTGATGCTTTTCCATCTAGTCCGACAAGCATTGCTGAACCTCCCTCCACTGTGGACCTGAGCTCATGTAACAAAGGCTGGCTCCAGCCTGGCTCAGGGGGGTGGGGGTCCCACACTGACAGCGATGGGAGGGGCAGTGGCCTGGCTCTTGGAAGCTGACGTCCCCAGGATTGTCGTCCCCATGGAAGCCTGCTGTGGGTTTTGAAGGAACGGTGCACCTCGGTTCCCTATGAGTCCTGCTCTGGGTGAGAGAGGGGGTGGTGAGAAGTGTATCTCCCACCGCAGGGCAGGGTGAGGCTTCACTGCCAGGCCCAGCAGCCCTTTGAGGACAGAAGGACACAGAGCAGAGCAGATGGGGGCAGCTCCACCCCCACCCTGGGCTGCACAGACAGGGACAGGCAAATGCTGAGGTTTTCCTCTGTTGGTACCACTTGGGTCCCCACAGCCAAAAGTCAGTCTGTGCCACCAAAGGAGGGCAGTTCTGAGATGTTCTTGGGATTGGAGACTTCCCTCTGGGCCCTTCGTTATGGCTGCCCCAGGAAGGAGTCAATGGCCCCTAACCCAAAGGTGCTCCAAGCACCCTGGGGTACCTGGTTCATTTCCAAGTTGAGATCAGCAGATTCTCCACAGGAGTGCCCCGGCTCCCCTAAATAACAGAGCATCTCTCTGGGGATTAAGGAGGTCATCTGGGCCGGCGGCCACACAATGGGTGGCTGGGTGCAGAAGGACAGTATGGGCAAAGGGTTGGCCCACGAATCTGCAATTGTTGTCTACATCTGGGAGAGGGAGAGGGAAGGAAGAGAGGGTATAAATAGAAACCTTTCGAGGCCCAGGAACAGGTGAATAAGCAGAAGGCAGTCACGTGTCCTCTGAAAGCCACATGTGGCAGCATGGTGCCAGGCCATGGCCCACAGGAGAGGCTCACACCTTCTCCTGTCTGTGCAGGACCTGCCCTTCCACACGCCTTCATGGGGTACACACACCTCCAGTAAGGCTGGAAGGGTGGGCCCTGTTCCCAATTCAACCACTCCCCAGACTTTCAAAGCCTGTTTTCTCATCTGCAAAACTGTGGGAATGTGAGACACTGTGTGTCACAGCCCTCCTCCCACTGTCTCTGCACGGGTTCTCCCACAGACTCCCTGCAGTGCCTACCACGCCCTCCAAGCCCGTGCTGTCCTTTCTCACTTCCTCTAGCCCAGCACCTGGGCCTTAAAAGACTCTGCTGGGAAGGCAGGCCTGCTACACAGCCAACGACACACCCTGTGGCTTTCAGGAGGCCAGCCAGGTGCTGTGTCCACCGCCCAGAGACTGCCCCATCTGACCCCTGAACTCTTGAAATGTCCACATCAAAAGGGACCAGACACCTAGCTCTTTGCTGCATTGAGGATTCCAAAGCACACTGAAGGAGGAACATGGCTGCCCAGAGACACAGACAAGCTGTTGCAAAGTGCACAGCTTTGCCCTCTTTGATTAAACTTCCTGTAACCACATATTACAATAGAATCTCTTGGGATTCCAGAATTCCAGGCGGTGTCCTTTCTCCCACCATTTGAGTTTTCTGGATGCCTGGAACCAACTCCTAAAACACTGTCTCCAGGGGAAGAGGTCCACTGGAAAGGCTTGCCCAGGCCAGCTCACCCCATTGGTCACCACTATAGCTGATCAGGGCTTGTGCTTATCGATCTTACCGTGGCGGGTCTGAGCAGGAGGCGGGGCGGGTTAACCGGCTGGAGTCGGGGTTCTCCCAGGCTGGGTTCCGCGCAAGGTCTCACTCCCTGCGCACTGGAGCCGCCTGGGCTTCCGCCGAGCCCTGACCTCCGCCCTTTAGTCTGCGACCAGTGGGTGCGTCAGGCCCCGGGGGTCGACGTGACTCGCGGTGCGCGCCAGAGAGGTCCCGTGGGCAGGACACGCCGGCCACGCGCTCCGGCCCCCACGCCGCGCACCTGTCCTGGGCGTGGCCCCGGAGCCTGGTCCCGCGGTCCCGCCCCGCCCCGCCCCGCCCCGGCCGCTCCCCGCGCTGATTGGCCGAGGCGGCGCGCTATGCTAATGAGCCTGACCCGGCCCGCACCTGCCGCGGCGCTGCGGACCCGCCTTCTGTGGATTCGCTAGCGGGACCTGCACCCGCGAGGAACCATGCCGCGCTCCTTCCTGGTGAAAACGCACTCCAGTCACAGGGTCCCCAACTACGGGGAGCTGGAGACACAGAGAGGTAGGCGCTGCAGGGCTCCCCAGCCCCTGCCCAGGGCTCAGGCTCCCGCGGGGCAGAAGGGGGAGGCCCCTGGGAGTGGGTGACATGTGTCCCAGGTAAGGAGGAGAGGCGGTAGCTCACCTGCAAGGCTGAAGGCAGGTAGGTTGCCGAGTCCAGCGGAGCGAGCAGGGGTTCTCTCCCACTTAGATAGGTTTCTAGGTTCCCAATCACTCTGGGCTCCTCCCCTATGGCCTGGCGCGCCCATCCCAGATAAAAGAACCCGTAGCCATCTTCGTGGGGCAGGAGCTTTGGGAAGGGTCCCAGGAATGGTGGGAAGAGACTCAGAGGGCCGCCGGGGGCTGCCATCCAAGGGCTCTGGAGGAACATCCTGGTTTGGGCGGTGGCCGCAGGGCCCGGGAAGAGTGACCATGGGCTCTGTGGTGCCAAGGCCCAGCTTGTCCAGCGTTCCCAGTGCCTACTCACCCCGCCTGAGGGTCTACCTCCGGCCTCTCCTTACCCCAGTGGAGGTTGCCCAGGGCAAGCTGGGCTAAGGGGCTGCCATCCTCTCCCCGGGAGGCTTGGTGGGGAGGTGGGAGTCCAGGACCCAGAACTGTACCCTCATTCCTGTTCCCTGCTGAGCAGAGGGACACGGGAGGTCCCAAGGCAAAGGCCTCTAGAGTTAGAGCTGTTCCCCAGCTCAGCAGCTTGTTGGGGTGAGACCTCCGGGGGACTGCTTGGTGACTCAGAGGGGAAGCGGGAGAGGGGAAGCAGGGGCATTGTGGAGGCTCTCAGAACCCAGCGTGGGGAGTCTCTGACTAGTACCGAGGCAGGGATGCCACCAGGGGGCGCCTTCCAGGGCCCGGAGCCTCCCTTCTGGGTCCTGAAATTAAAGTAGTCACCACAGGCAATTTTTTTTTTTTTTTTTAAGAACTTCCTAATCGCAGAGATCAGGCAGATCTTTTACATTCGGTAGTATTTACTGTTATATACACTACGGGACAGGGGTTTTTGGTTTGTTTTTTAAATATGTTTTTATTGATTTCAGAAGGGAGTGGGAGAGAGAATTATCGATTGGCTGCCTCATGCACATCCTCTACTGGGGATCGAGCCTGCAACCCAAGGCATGTGCCCTGACCAGAAATCAAACTGTGACCGCCTGGTTCATCAGTCAATGCTCAAACTGGCTGGGCTTGATTTTTTAAAATAAAACAGAATAGAAACAATCAAAGTGTGATGCTTCAGATAAAGGAAAGTGTTGCATCAGGTATATATGATGGAAAATTGAATTTCCATGGGCCATAATTTTAAAACTTTAAAAACCACTGTGTAGAGTACAGTCATACAGTGCACCCCCTTCACAATGTGAATGTGCAAATCTGGGCAACTGTGCAAAGCCCAGTGAAGGACTGTCCGAGAACAGCCTGGCAGCCCCTTGGCTCTCTCTGCTCCTCTCCCCCAGCCCTCTTGTCCCAATCCGGGGCTAGAGATTCATTTCAGCACATAAGGAATAAGTAATGGGTTGCGGGCTATTTGGAGATTTCAGCTTTGGGGAGATACAGAATTTAACTCTCACCGACTAACTAACCTGTTTACTTTGGGGGCCCACCACTCTGGGTCAAGAGTGGGGCAGGCTGGCTCCCAAACACAGGAGCAACAGGCTGAGGTCAGAGGACAGCCTCTCTGGACCAGGAGGCTGTGTGCACCCTGTCAGGGTATTGAGGAGTAATCAGGAGGTGACCGGAGGCTGATTATTTTACATGTGGTGGCCTGCAGCCCAGCGCTCTGAGTTAATGCTGCGTGGCAGCCTGGGGATGCACTGTGAGCTGGTCCTGAGGTGGAAAGGGACTCAGAGAGAGGACCCATCCTGTCCGGCAGTGAGGGAGCCTTCCTTGGGCCCATGAAGGCTGTTTTGGGATTTTATAAGGTATTTCTTTATTTTTGTTCTTAAAGAGAAACTGAGATTCCTCCTCTAGACTCCTGGGCCGTCATCACTTCCCCAGCTGACACCTCCATCTTTCAGGCCTTTCCCTTCATGCCAAGCTTCTGATAGCCTCGAACCATGGTCGGCAAACTGCAGCTCGTGAGCCACATTGCAGCTCTTTGGCTCCTTGAGTGTGGCTCTTCCACAAAATACCACGGCCTGGGCCAGTCTATTTTGAAGAAAGTGGCATTAAAAGAAGTTTAAGTTTAAAAATTTGGCTCTCAAAAGAAATTTCAATCATTATACTGTTGATATTTGGCTCCAGTGATGAATGAGTTTGCCAACCACTGGTCTAGAACAAGCATGTCAAACTCATGGCCTGTGAGCCGTATGCCTCATTTATTTGGCCCATGTTAGCTTTTGAGTTTGACATGCGTGGCTTAGAAGGTGAACTTAAAATTAGACCCAAGATGGAAGAGAACACAAGACTTTGGGACTGAGTTTCACCTTTCTATTCTCTCTCTTTCTGCCCTTCTAGAAATCAATGGCTCCTGTTCTGCCTGTGGGGGGCTGATGGTGCCCCTCCTTCTCCCAGACAGGGCAGCCCCTCCCATTTCTGCTGATCCTGCCCAGCCCTGGGACCACACCTCTGTCGTCACCTGCATCTCCCTGTCCCTCCCAGAAGCTCGGGGGACCTCTGAGCCAGATCCCTTGGAAGTCAGCCTGATGGACCCTTGTGCTGGCCAGGCTCCCAGCATACCCCTCAAAGACAGCCTGAACCACCTCAATCTGCCCCCACTGCTGGTTCTGCCCACACGGTGGCCCCCAATTCTAGGCCTAGGCGGGGACCAGCCTCCAGACAGACTGCTGGGGGCTGAGCAGGCCCCTTGTGCCCCAGGGGGCTTCCAGTGCATCCACTGCCACAAGCTCTACCACACACTAGCTGGGTTGGCCAGGCACCGGCAGCTGCACTGCCACCTGCAGGCTCAGCGCTGCTTCACCTGCAAGTATTGTGACAAGGAGTACTCCAGCCTGGGGGCCCTCAAAATGCACATCCGCACGCACACGCTGCCCTGCATTTGTGCCATCTGTGGCAAGGCCTTCTCCAGGCCCTGGCTGCTCCAGGGCCACATCCGGACCCACACAGGTAGGACAGCGTCGGGTCCACAAGAGGGATCTGGGTGGGCGCGGGAGTGGGGCCTGGAGGTTAGAAAGAGGAGTGGGTCAGTTTTATGACCAAGAAGACAGACATCCTCACAGCTTTGGCTCTCCTGTGCATTTGTGTCTTGGGGCTGCAGAATAAAGCCCCACAATCTTGGGGGAGGGGCCTCAAAACACCAGAAATGTCCCCTCCCATTGTCTGGAGGCCAGAATCCCAAAGCCCAGGTGTTCCAGGATTGCCTCCCTCCAAAGGCTCTAGAGGAGAATCCATCCTGCCTCTTCCAGATAGATCCTGGGGGCTCCGGGCATATCTTGGCTTGTGGCCACATCACTCCGACCGCTTCTTCCGACCTCGCGTGACCTCTCCTTCCTGTGTTTCTGTGTCCCAATCTCCCTCTTGTTATAAGGACACAGTCATATTGAATCAGGGCCCACACACTGCAATATGACCTCACCTTAACCTGATGACATCTGCAAAGCCCCTATTTCCAAATACTCGTTTAGGACGTGGACGACTCTTTTTTGGAGGACACAATCCAACCCATAACACCCAGCAAAGAGTAGAATGCTTCAGCAGGATCTGATGTCTTTTTTTAAAAAAAATATATTTTATTGATATTTCACAGAGAGGAGGAAGGGAGAGAGATAGAGAGCCAGAAACGTCGATGAGAGAGAAACATCGACCAGCTGCCTCCTGCACACCCCCCACCCGGGACGCGCCTGCAACCAATGTACATGCCCTTGACCGGAATCGAACCTGGGACCCTTAAGTCCACAGACTGACGCTCTACCACTGAGCCAAACCGGCTTCGGCAGGATCTGATGTCTTACGTTCCATGGCCTTCTAGAATTCTGGAACAGGAGGAGAAGGGAGCAATAAAGGCTTGGGCTGGGAGTAAGAACCGTAGGCATCACAGCCTATCTGAAGGGCAGAGATGACAGCTGAGACTTCACTTAGAATTTGGGGACCTGGAGCAAACTGTCCAGGAGTGAGAGGGTGGCCAGGAGCCCATAGGAATGGAAGGAGAGAAGGGCAGTTGTGGAGAAAAGACAAAGGCAGAAGCAGAAAGGAAAGGGACATGGGCAGGGAGCTGAAGGAGACCTAAGAACCTCAGCTTGTCATGCCACAGATTACAACCTACTGCCCAGAAAGAGCGGAAGGGGCCTGCTCTGTACAGGGGCGGCCAGCAATGAGGTGCACCTCAGCCTGCAGCTCCGCCGGGAGCCTGAAACTTTGTCAAGCATACAGGGCAGAGTTGCTGACAGGAACAAAGAAACAGAGCTCCCAGAATAAGCTTTTGGTCCTGATCGCAGACCCCCAGTTGCAACACACACTTTCTGTAACCGGAGCCTCCCTAATCCTAAATCACTGCCCGTAGCTAGAATCTTCTGAGTCACACCTGGGTGGAGGCGGGGAAGGGTGTTATGGGAAAGGAGCCATTTTTCTTGACTCTTTCTGAGGATGTCACACATCTCAGAGGCTCAGTGCTCTTGTTCTGGTAACCAGGAGGGTGGGAGTCCCTACCGGAGGCTGGCTGGCAGGGAGTGAGCCCAGGTGTCGGGCTGGTGGCTCTCAGGGCTCTGTAAGGCTGCAGGACTGGACGCTGCTCTACACGAGCAGAGAACAGGTGACTCTCATACTTTTCAGAATCATCCTAGGGGCCAAGGTCCCAACAGTAGGACTTTGTCCAAATCCTGGTGGCCTGGAGGATCCAAGGATTTTACCATTCCTAAATGCCTGCCTCCTCCCACTCTACCCTCTGTGGCAGCTGAGCTGGTCTCCATCACCGGCTTTTGGTGGGAGGTACAGCTGCAGAAGGTGCCGTGCTTCTCGCGTCCAGATCTGGGTGGCAAAGGCCCCAGGAGAGCTCAGGCAGGAACAGAAAGACCTAGCAGCTGCGGTAGATGTAGCAAAGAGCATGCTGGACCTTTGCTCTTCGGAAGGGTTAGTCATATCATTCCGCCCAATCCCCAGTGGCCCCAACGTAGGCGCTTGTGTGGCCTCCTGGCCTTAATGTCTCCTCCTGGGTCAGGGACTAAGGCTCCTTTCACTATGTCCTAGAAGGGGAGAGGGGTTGACAATCAATGGCTTGGAATTAAGTAAGCATTGGAGTTATTCACTTATAAACACAGGAACCTTGGGGCTGACTTCCAGGACACCCCAGATAGTCACTCACCCGCCTGCCCCTCTTCCTCCCCCAGGTGAGAAGCCTTACGCCTGCTCTCACTGCAGCAGGGCCTTTGCCGACCGCTCCAATCTCCGGGCCCACCTGCAGACACACTCGGACACCAAGAAATACCAGTGCAAGAGCTGCGCCAAGACCTTCTCCCGCATGTCGCTCTTGGTGAGGCATGAGGAGTCTGGCTGCTGCCCCGGTCCCTGAGAGGCATGGGTCTGGTGCTGCAGGAGGGACGAGACCTCACCCAGAGACATCACGGCTGGCGACCCTCTTCGCAGCCTCGTGCTGCCTGGTGTGCTCAGAGGAGCTGGCAGTCCCGGAGGGCAGGAGCTCAGCCTCCCACTCTCAGGTGCGTTCGCTGCACACCACAGCCAGAACAGCCCAGCGGGGCGTCGGGGTGTGCCAGGGCCCGTGGAGGGTCTCCTGCCCACTCTGCCCACTCAGAGGGGACGACTTTCAGCAAAACAAGAACCACTGTTTTGTGTTCCACTTGCTCTGGTTTCAGCTTCTGTGTCTCTAAGCATTAGACTGTTGGGGACTGTTGCCAGCATGGGCTGTGCCTGCCATTAAGACAAGGAATGGGGCCTTCGGATCGCTCCGCAGCTCCACGCGAACAGTCTGACTTGTGCGAGCACACTCACAGTCCAGCCTGCGTGGGAAGAGCTACCTCAAGGCTCACCTCCCTCTGCCTTTGGCTTGGGATCTGAGCCCCCGCAGCCTCATGTTGCACATGCGCACACGCCCTCCCCATCTCACTAGGCTGTCCCTCAGGTGGAGCAGCACCCGGGGGAGCAGGAGCTGGGCCCCCTTCCCCATCGTGGGGCAATAAAGAGTCCACGTGCTCAGGCCTGTTATGTCCTCTGAGGTTCTGCGTGTTCCCAGTCCCCTGCGTCTGTGGAGGAGTCTGAGCTCTGAGAAGTTATTCAGAAGCAGCCGGACCCGGCCACCGAGGAGGAGAATGGGGATCAGGGCATCGGGCTGTGATGCTGTTTTGGGACGGGGAGCGAGGCTGCTGGAGGCAGGGTCCAGGTGAGCAGGGGTGTCTTCTTCCGGAAGAAAGAGACGAGTGATGGAACAGTATCAGACTGAGGACTGACTGAGGGGCGTGACCTCGGGCTGGGGATGAGTGAGGGCTTGCTAGAGAAGTGTGAGGAAACCAGGCCAGAAGAGAGGGCCGGGGTGGGCTGTGAGCGCTGCATGGCTGGCGTTCATTTCCCCCACGGTCTACGTTAGGAGAGAGAACCACGCTGTATCTGCAGGCCTGTCCGCGGTCACCACGAGGGTATCTTCGCTGGGCCACCTCACCAAGGAGCCGTGTCTCCTCACCTGCCCACAGTATGTCAGCCTTGTTTTCCACATCTTCTTCTTCTTTTTAAAAAAATATATTTTATTGACTTTTTACAGAAAGGAAGAGAGAGGGATAGAGAGTTAGAAATATTGATGAGAGAGAAACATAGATCAGCTGCCTCCTGCAAACCCCCTACTGGGGATGTGCCCACAACAAAGATACATGCCCTTGACCAGAATCAAACCTGGGACCTTTCAGTCCTCAGGCCAACGCTCTATCCATTGAGCCAAAACTGTTTTGGCTCCACATCTTCTCTTGAGGCTGCAGGCATCTGTGACCTGAGTGTGTGGCTCAGACCTTTGACCCCGCCCTGGACACACAAACCTTCCCAAACTGACTCAGATGCCAACACATAAGAACCTCCTCTCCCCGCCCAGTGTCCGGTACCCATTGCCCCAGCATGGAGGCATCATTGCCTTCTCACAGGTAGACTCCTCTCACCCCCAGACCTCCGGGTGGTCACCTGTTGGGCTGATCCTGCCTCCTGCCAGCGTTCTTCACCGTCTCCAGCAGGACCCTGGAGAGAAGGCAGCATCCAGGACCGAAGATGGAGGCCTGAGTGTAAGGGAGTCTGAGTCCTTGATGTCGGGAGGCACATGCTGCTCCAGGAAGGACAGCCTGCCGTCCCAGCCAATGGAGAGCCAGGCCCCTGGGTCCTGGGCCTGGAATGGAGCCACTCAGCATGTGCAGAGCCCCCCTCCTCCCGACCCCACACTCAGCCCTGAGCCACCAGATTTCTGAGCCTCCTCTGCATGGGAGAACATTCCGGAGCATTTACCTGGACACACTGGGTGCCAAGTATCTTACTCTGCAGCCGCCTCTGCCGCAGTCCCAGCCCTGATGGCCCCCACCATAGGTGCCAGCTGGTGCTCCGTAGGTTTGATGATGCCCATTGGAGGTGTCTTGGGTCATCCCAGAGGAAACTTGACCTTGGTCTTGGGATTCTTTGGACCAAGGTGACCTTGATGAAGCAGACCACCCAGGGGAGCCCCTTCCTGGCCTCTACCAGACTGTCTCAGCCAGTGGACTGAAGATGTTTCTGAGACTGGGGAAGTCCCATTTAGCTAATGTATGAGTTTGCTTCGGCTGCTGTAACAAAGTCCCACACACTGGGCAGCTTAAACAACAAGAAATTAATTTTCCCACGGTCCTGGAGGCCAGAAGTCTGAGTCAGGGTGTCAACAGAGCTGGTTCCTTCGGGCGCCGAGGAGACTGTCCAGGCCTCTCCCGGTCCCGCTGATCTGCTGACAATCTTGATGTTCCTTGGTTTGTATAGCATCACCCCACCTCTGCCTCCCTCTTCACATGGTGTTCTCCCTGCCGGCGTCTCTGTGTCCAAATGTCCTCTTTTTGTAGGAAAACCAGACATATTGGGTTAGGATCCACTCTGGAAAGTGGATCCTAACTACCTCTGCAATGACCTTATTTCCACATTCTGAGGTACTGGGGGTTAATATCTCAACATATAAATTGAGGGGACACCATTCATACCCCAACAGCTGGCAACACAGGGTTTGCCAAGAGATGCCAGGTGGGTCCTGTGCTTGGGCTTCAGGCGAGGAGAGTCGAATCCTGTTCCCCCCAGGCCACAAAGAACCCAGGGGCAGAGGGGACTCTTACTGACAGCATTACTAGAAACACCTCCTCTGGAGGTTTGTGTCCCCTGCTCAGTATCCGGCCCTTCCCTAGTGTCTGTGTCTATCCCCCTCCTCCTCTCCACCATCCTGTTAGGGGCCCTGTAGAGCTGAGAACAGGCCTGTGTCCCAACAGGACGATCCTGACCCCAAAATGTCTCTTGAGGCGCCTGGCCCTTCTGCCTCGCCCCAAGCCTGGCAAAGGTGAATGTTTCGGCCAGCGGGTGTGCTGCGCCCGGCCAGCTCACAGGAGGCTTTTTAAAAAATAGCATCCAGATGCCTGAGGAAGCTATATTGTAAATTGTGTTCTATTTCTGGGCTCCAGTGTCTAAATGGGGCGATGCACCTGTTGGGTATGAAGGGAGGGAATTTCACAGGCCTAAAATAAAGTCAAATGTTGCCCTTCTGTGCCGGCCCATGGAAAATGCTCTTATATTTATATCTGGGCTGGTGTAGGGCAGGGCAGTGGAGCATCGGCTGGCAGAGCGGTGAGGAAAGGCCCGGGCACCTGCCAGGAAACTGACACGGAATGAATGGGGGCGGGGGGGGGGGATGTCCCACTCAAAGCTCCGCGGCTACAGTCCTACCTCGAGGCCACCACGTCTCCCACCGGCCACGCTGCCTGCGGCAGCCTTGGGGCTCACAGCTTCCACCTGCCCCTCTCCCCGGTCACGTGGCCTGAGCATTGGAATTAGCTCAGATGCCCATTTAACATTTGGGTTTCTGGAGCCCTCTCTCCACACCTACAGAATGAGAATGAGGAAAGGGCTGAGGCTTGTTCATGTTCATTCCCAGGTGATGTTGGCACAGCCAACTCTCTTCTCAGAGGACTGCCATCGGGCCCCCTTCTACTCAGATATTTACTCATCACACCCGCCTTCTCCCTAAAGAAAGCCTTTTTAAAAAAATATATATATTTTATTGATTTTTTTACAGAGAGGAAGGGAGAGGGATAGAGAGTTAAAAACATCGATGAGAGAGAAACATTGACCAGCTGCTTCCTGCACAACCCCTACTGGGGATGTGCCCACAACCCAGGTACATGCCCTTGACCGGAATCGAACCTGGGACCCTTCAGTCCGCAGGCCGATGCTCTATCCACTGAACCAAGTCGGTTTTGGCTAAAGGGAGCCTTTTGATCACACTATCCCAGCATGTGGTTGGAGCCTCTCTCCAAGGCAGGAGCTGGGATCTATGGAGTTGGAAGCAGGTGCTGTCACTGCAGCCTGGATAAATCTGAGCAAAAGCAGGAGCCTAAGAAATCAAGAGGATTCTATTGTAGACAAAAGCAAAACCAGGGAATGGGCTCTCCAAGTTTGGGGCCAGCAGCTTCCCAGCAAGAACAGCGCTCCCAGCGTGGCACCGGTGGACAGGGAGACACCACAGTGCACAGGAGAGAATGACCGAGCACGACAGGCCTGCTCTCTCCTGACTCACAGACACGAGTGCCTGCCGTCCCAAGCCCCAGCCCTGCAAACAGCTGTGAGAGGGACACCCCGTCTCAGAAGCTGGGTCCGTCACCCCACTCCCTGTTGAAAGAAACCCCTCTTGAAACTATAGCCACACTAAGCTTATGCCTTCCCTTCCAGACCCCAGAGGGCTCTATATTTATATCATTTTGGCGCTGGATATTTGGGGGTTCTCTGAAAATAGCCCACTTGTTACTATCTATACTCAGAGAACCCACTGTTGGCCTCCAGTTGATAGCTAAGTATAGCTCCCTGGCAAAGTTCAATGGAACAAAAGTTTCCAGGCCCTCCTCACCTTGTGGATGGAGGAACGTTCCGGCTGCCAAGGCCCAGAGGAGCTCAGAGAGAGGCTAGACCTGATGGGGGGCTTGGGGGCACCCTCTCTCTCCTGCTGGAGCTGAGGGGCCTGCAGGGCTCCTGGCAGACAAGGTGCCCGTGCAGGTTCCGAAGGGAGGCGCTCTGATCCCAGTGATGTCGCGGTTGAGCCAATTCCATTAGGAAGCCTTGGGTTCTGTCTGTAAAAAGCAATCCTGCTGACCTCTATTTCAGAATTCAGGAAAGTGCCAAGTAAACGTAAAAGTAAAAACAGACTCTTAGGTGTGGAAAATAAAGTATAACTGCTAACTTTAGACAAACCCTATATCTCACTCCCTCTCAGAATCTGTTTCTTTTAAAAAATATATACTTTTTATTGATTTCAGAGAGTAAGGGAGAGGGAGAGACAGAAGCATCAATGATAGAGAATAATTGATTGGCTGCCTCCTGCATGCCCCCTACTGGGGATTGAGCCTGCAACCCAAGCATGTGCCCTTGACCGGAATCAAACCCAGGATCCTTCTGTTCACAAGCCAATGCTCTATCCATTGAGCCAAACTAGCTAGGGCAGAATCTATTTCTTGATCACCACGTTCTGGCTGCAGTAGCTCTCCCCTCCCAGCCGCCCCGCTCCAGCCCATGAGCTGCCTGAAAGTTGGCGTGGCACCTGTCCAGGGCATCCCCAGGTGCCAAGAGAGCTCTGGACAGAGTTGGAGTACGGATGGTGTGAAGGGCGAGAGGGGCCCGGGGCAGGCATTCACACCATGTCCCTCCTGTTAGGTGTGGGCGCACCATCTCTGGGTATTAAGCAGAGAGGTGGAGGCCAACATCCCAACGCACGAATCAACGCTGCCCCTTCTCCCCCCTGTTTTACAGTCAGCACTCCCAGGCTGACCCCGGAGCACCGAGCACTCGTCACCTGTTGCTCGGGCACCTCTTGTTTTCTCTCCTTGGTTCTCCCTGTCAGGATCAACTGTAACTGGTCATTAATCATTTCAGTTTTGCTTATCCAGTTCAAAACACCAGCACCATTTCCTTCTGGGACCAGGCCTGGGGCCCAGGACACAAGTGACACCTTTAGGGATGGC